TACCATCTTAAATATATTCGCTAATAATCGTTTCTTCTTTACTTTAAATCTTGTTCTATGATCTTGTGTCATGAATTCTGAACTTGTTTTCAGCTCCTCTATCATATTATAGAAAAAAATGTACCAAATCAATTTTAAAAGATAAAGATGACCTTGATATCTCCGAAGCGCCTCCACCTGGACAAAAATTATTTTTGCTATATGATAGCCCTCTTCGTACCGTACAATTTTGGTTACACTAATTTTTCTCTGGGCCTTATAGATTCGAATATTGTTGGATATTATCTTGGATGTGCGCAGGTGTCGAGAAATTGGAATTAGCCGAATGATAATAAAGAACACAACTTTAATCTAATATAATTGGAAGCAGTATTACAATATCACGCTCGCATGTCTTTTCACGAACGCTACCAAAAGACGAGTGTGATAGGCGGGAGTTTTTGGCGCGCGCTAAAAAGAATACCAACCGAAAAATACTACTACGAAACGTGCGCGTATGGTTGTGAGCGCCGCTGCGCCCAAACGAATCTTATTGTATATAATCACTAGAAACGCGCGCTTATTTAAACACGAAAACTAAAATCTACAGAAACTTAACAAATATATTTAAAGTGGTAATAGTTATTGCCTCACCCTGATGTATACAAGGCAATTTGTCAGAAACAATATATATGGAGCAACCCTCAATGTTCGAACATAATAAAAATAAAATATATCGTTTGCGTCGTCCTATTTATGGTTTAAAACAGTCTGGCCGTGCAAGATAAACTAAAAGAAAAACTAGAAGAAATTGGGTTTAAAGCCTTAATTTAAGATAGAACCTTGCGTTTATACTGACATTAGTGATGGCGTTTATGTAATAGCAGTCGTTTACGTGGACGATGTCCTTTTTGCGTCAAAATTATTAAAAGTTATATCTAAAGTTAAGCTCGAATTAAATAAGTTTTTTAAAATAAAAGATTTAGGACCCGTAAGCGAAATATTTGCTTCTCGACAGAGAAGAAATACGCTTAATCTCAAACCTCTACTGGCAATAAACCGCAGAAGTTAGACTGGAATCAGCAACATCGGAAACAACTCTCATCAAGAAAGGAGTGCGGCAGGGATGTGTCTTATCACCACTACTATTCAATATATACTCGGAGGCTATTTTCAAGGAAGCTCTAGAGGGAATTACTGGTGGAATCAGGATTAACGGCAGGACGATTAATAATATCAGATATGCTGACGATACCGTTGTGTTAGCAGAACATGCATGACCTGCAAAACATGATGGACCGCATAGTTCGACACAGTGAAAGCTTTGGCCTCTTCACGAATACTACGAAAACCAAAACCATGGTTTTCTCTAAGATACATGTGCGTGCACATCTGATTATTAAGGGGGCAACTGTGGAACAAGTCTCGTCCTTCAAATATCTTGGAATTATCATGGTCTATATGACCCTAAGAAAGAGATCAGATCAAGAATCGAGCAGGCTAGAAAAACATTTACGAATATGAAGACGTTCTTCACGAGATCGGATCTAAGTTTGGACTTCAGAGTTCGTATGATCAGATGCTACATATTCTCTACCCCGTTATACGGTTCCCAGCAAACGAAAAAAGATTGAAAAGAATTAAAACGGGATTGCCAGGAATTCAATTAAGGACTTTCCGAATTCCATTCTGTCCAAAAAAGGGATTGAAATAGTTTCAATATCATGGAATTCCTTATTTTGAAAAGAATTTGTCTTTTTTGAATCCCATCCAATTCCGACACAAAAATATTACCACTGAATGCCAGGTTAGGGATTGGAAAGTTTCGTGATGAATTCCATTGATTCCGTTAACGAAATGAATACCATTGAACGCCAAACTAGGAATTAAAAATTTCTGTATTGAATTCCATTGAATTCCGTCTATTCTGACAATAAAATGAATACCATTGAATGCCAGGATAGGGATTGAAAAGTGTCCGTGTTGAACTTTGTGGCGGTACGCGCCAACAATAGTACACGCCCGCGCGGTATCTGCATTACCGGCAATTCGCGTCGACGCCGCCAGGCGTCGCATCGCCGGGGCATCTTCTCGAGTTCAAAGTTTCGTCTCGACCGCTATGTAAAGGGACCCCCTACGGTGCCTGACAGATCTTACAAATCTCATTTTTGGGCTAATTGCCCGTTGGCAGTAGTGCGTGTAATGCCCTTATAGGCATACACAAAAGCTCACCGACGAACAACGGCGCTTGGTCGCCCAACGGAGGCGCGAGACGTTTCCTAAACCATCTAAATGCCATGCAATTCCATAACCTTTACGGATTTCATAGGATTGGATGGAATTTAAAATTTCTTTTTTGGATTTCATGGGATTGGACCATCTCATTTCGAATCCCATCTAATTTCATCTAATTCCGCCAAAAAAGGGATTCAAAGGTATTAAAAAATTTTAATATCTTTTAATCCTTTTGCGTTTGCTGGGTTGTGAAAGCTGGACTCTTGACCCAAATACGGAAAAGAAAATAGATGCTTTTGAGATGTATCTGTACCGTCGTATGTTGCGCATATCATGGGTAAATAAAATAACCAATGAGGAAGTCCTCAGCCGTATGCATAAGCAGAAGGAACTCATGTTGACAATCAGGGAGAGAAAGACGAGATATATAAGACACCTGATGCGAGGAGAAAGATACGAACTCATGCGACTGATCATCCAAGGCAAGATTCAAGGGAAGAGATCCATTGGCAGGCGCCAAAATTCCTGGCTGAAAGACATCAGAAGATGGTTTGGCTGTACTTCAGTGGACATCTTTCGCATGGCCGTATCTAAGACTATGTTGGCCATTTGGATCGCCAACCTTCGAAAGGAGACGGCGTCATAAAAAGAAGAAGCGAAATATTGGGTATACGAGTCTAAAGAAATAGGGATACGGGATCAATAAAAATTTCACAGAAAAAATATATAAATAAAGTTATCAAACAATTTGGAATGAGCTTATGTAGGGGAGACCGAAGGTAGTTGACACACTTTTCAAATACTGATTGTTAAAAAAATGTTAGCAGTATTTTATAATGTCGTATACTATTTTATAATGTAGCATTGTAGCTACATCTTTTAGGTGTAAGAAAAAAAATAAACTTGTATATATTTATACACAAAAAAGTTATCTAATTCTAAGCAAAACCGCGCAAATGTGACAACTTACCCCATACCCAGGGTTAGTTGTCACATGACTCTGGATTGATTGTCATATATCTTTTATGTAGAGAAAACATACAACAAATAGTTCTTGTTTTAATATTTTATTAAAATTAGTGCCAGTTTTTGGTAAATTTAACTTAATAATATATTGCAGCATGAATTAAACAAAAAATTAAAAATTTTCATTATAAATTTTGTAATATAATTCTCATAAACTTAGAGTAAATGATTAATTTCGAGAATTAACTTCAGGTATTAAATTATCTAAAGAAATGGAGGCAAATACTCTTGATGAGAAAAGAGAAATGGAAGGTAAACCATATAAAGAATTAATAGGTAGCTTCCTGTACTTAGCAAATACGACAAGACCTGACATTTCATTTACAGTTGGAGCGTTAAGTAGATACAATCTAAATCCTGGACTATAACATTGAAAATGCGCGAAACATGTCATCCGTTATTTGAAACAAACTGCTGATTATAAAATATTGTACCGAAAAACAGAGAAACCGTTACAAACGTATATCGATGCGGATTGGGCCGGTGATCAAGATGACCGCAAATCTTGTTCAGGAAACATACATGTATTAACTGGAGGACCAATAAGCTGGTTTTCTAAGAACTTTCAAACATCAGTTGCACTTTCAACTATGGAAGCCAAATATGTCCGAAGCAACGAAAAAAAACTATACATTTACGTAGATTAATCAAAGAGATGTATGAAGATCAGTATGTACACGATCCAACGGATATATTATGCGATAATCAAAGCGCAATTGTACTGAGTAACGAGAATATGCTTCACCAAAAGAGCAAACATATATTGAAATAAGATGTCATTTTTCTAGAGATGCTCAAAGCAAAGGTTTATAATTAATGTCAAATTTATTTTATCGGATAAAAAAATGGCAGATATTTTAACAAAACCTTCGGTGAAGGATAAACATTTAAATTGTGTTCGTTTATTAAATCTTATGTTCAGTTAAAAACACACGTATATATGTTATAGTCAAAGCCCGAAACGCAGGCATTCCTAGGATTGACTAGTCAATTCTGGGGAACGACCAAGCGTCTTGGTCAAAGCCCGAAATAAGTTTTGCGTTTCGGCTTTTGACTAGTCCTAGGAATAACTAATACGGCTAGTCAAAGTTAGAAACTAAGGAAAAATCACTTCGGACTTTAACTAGTCAATCCTAGGAATAACTAATACGGTTAGTCAAAGTTATAGAAACTAAAGAAAAATCACTTCAGACTTTGACCAGTCAATCCTAGGTGTGGCCCAATTCGGACTGTGTGACTGTTAACAAACAAAATTAAGATTTTTTTTACTAAATTAAGTTCTTATTGTTAACATAATGCAGCTTTTTTTCTCCTTAAGTTTAAAAATGTAGCTTTGGTAAAATATTGGTTTAAAGCGCTTGAAACCAATATTTTATCAAAGCTACATTTTTAAACTTAAGGAGAAAAAAACTATGTACAAGAGTAAAAAAGTAAATAAAAAGCTACATTATGTTAACAATAAAAACTTAATTTAGTAAAAAAAATCTTGATTTTATTTGTTAACAGTCACACAGTCCGAATTAAGCTACACCTAGGATTGACTGGTCAAAGTCCAAAGTGATTTTTTTTTAGTTTCTAACTTTGACTAGCCGTATTCGTTATTCCTAGGATTGACTAGTCAAAAGCCGAAACGCAAAACTTATTTCGGGCTTTGACCAAGACGCTTTGGTCGTTCCCCAGGATTGACTATAGTCAATCCTAGGAATGCCTGCGTTTCGGACTTTGACTATAACATATATACATATATCAATACACATAAAATGCCCGTTCTAGACTGGAGGATGATCCTACTCGCGGTTCATCCTAGTGAGTAGTGTAAACGGATAAAAATCGTTGATTATTCATGATTTTTACCCGTCTACACTACTCACACTCACTAGAATGAGCCGCGAGTAGGATCATCCTCCAGTCTAGAACGGGCATAAGAGAAGAAGCTTGTGCGGTAGAGCAGAAACAATACAGCGCTATCGTAGCGGTCGATAAAACAACTTAGCGGGTACATGAAAATAACTAAACATGTATAATATTACATATTATGATATCTCTACACTCCCGGCCTCTATCGGAATAATATATGTATGGCCTCTGCCGCGTTTTTGAGTTACCGGATACATTGTAATAAACACTGAGGTATAATCCAAACGGGCTGTCTTTAATAATCTTCCCTGCCCAAGAAGCTAAGAAAACCGATAACATTGATTTTCTGATTATTGAAGTTGTTTGAGGAACAGTACACAGTAAAAAATCGTGTGTACATATAGCGGTCCATACATTAAATTTTTTTTGTGTTACCAAGATTTAATTATTATTTTAATGTAAAATTAACATACAACAGTTATGTTATTATTTTCTTAATATTTTCATGTGTTACATTTATGTCAAAGTAACACTTTATATATGTCATTTAGAAATAAAATATTATTTTGAGTTCTTGTAACACAATTATTTTAAAAAATCAACATGTCTTAAATGTCTTATGTGTTATTTTAACATATAAAGAAAAGTTAAAGTAAATTTTTAAATAATCGTAAACTAAAATTAAATGTTTCTATTACACGCAGTTCAAGTAAAATCTGTAAAATAATTAATATCATGTGTTAATATAACTTGAAAAATAAAGTCAAAAGAACACATATAAATGTAAAGTATAATGTCAATTAATTAACATTTCTAATTTGTCAACAAGTAGCACACGATGAATGATCATTTTAACTTAAAATTTAGAGTGGATTTTCTGGAACATGTAAAAAATGTTAAAATTACGTATTATTTTTTACTGTGTAAAATACATTAAATATATTGATAAAATTAATTGTATATTTTTCGAGAAATATTTATAATATTTTTGTGGATTTACATAATAATTATATACATATGTTTTTTTAGAAAAACTATGGGAGCAGCTGGTTACTTTAGCTGACCAGTACTATCCCATTTTAAAATTCTGGGAATTTATTCTTCCCGTAGTATCCATCCGTCATCCGGATGATTTAGAGGTAATAAAATATAAAAACAATTTAATCTTTTATTTTTTGGGATTGATAAATTAACGATAAGATGCTTATTTCTTTACGTTTTTTTTTGCAAAAATATTTGTTTTTGTCAAAAATCTGAAATGACTTAATATTCGAAATACTTTTAAAATTATTTAATTAATTATTTATTTAAATGGCGTCTGAATTAAATAACGTTTAACTTATCTTCTGTAATTTTAGATAATATTAAGCAGTACGAAACACATCCAAAAGAGTTTTCTTTATGATAGTTTACTTCCTTGGCTCGGTACTGGTCTTCTCACTAGTGGAGGTAACATAATAATATTTTTTTCATATTTAAAAAAGGCATGAAAGTTGATACTCGAATTTATCAAAGTTTATTGGTTTCGCTTTTCCTTGATGCCGATTTTGGTTCTCTCGGTGCGCTTACTTTATAAGTAGCTGTCATCGTATATTTTGACAGTTGTGTGTAATGATAAAGCTAAATAGCGCGCGCGAAGCGCGCGTTTGTGATGTCTAGTAACATATAAATAATGGTATATGTTATATTGACTTTTGTTTTGGTTCTTTATTAAACTTTGTTTTAAGTTCCAATTTCATTGATAACAAAAAAATCTCTGCAATTAAATTTAAAAAGTATAGGAGAGAAAGGAGTAATACCGATCAGCAAACAATACCGGTTAGCTAATTATCTTGAAAATGTGATAAAGAAATTGGTTAAAAAATTTTTTGGTAATACTTAAGGAGAGCTCCCTCTTCACCGATTTCGCTGAATTTAGGCTTAATCGACGCGTTTTTGCACAAAACGAACGAATTTGACGGAAAAAAGTCCCGCTCTGCCCCGCGAAGCGAGATATTAACTGTTAAAGTTGACGACTATCAGGTTATGAAACAGCTGTCATACCGACGAATCATATTACTGTGTTTTGTTAATCTCAACGATTAATATCTGTAACAGAAATAATTTGTTAAAGCAGAGAATAGTTGATATATAAAAAGTACATATTTATGTGTAATTTTCACATACCAACTATTCTCTGCTTTAACAAATTATTTCTGTTACAGACATTAAGCGTTTCAGTTAACGAAACAGAAATAATTTGTTAAAGCAGAGAATAGTTGGTATATGAAAAGTACACATAAATATGTACTTTTCATATATCAACTATTCTCTGCTATAACAAATTATTTCTGTTACAAATATTAAGAAGATCCTAAAGCCGTCTGTAATACCGGTTTCTTTCTTAGCACTAATCTTTTAATTGGTTTTATAGAAATAAAAAATTCTTGTCTAGAATTAAAGTACGCATCACAAAATCTAGGTCATGGTGGTCGAATTTATATCAAAAACGAAAAAAAATTAATATTTTTTGTTATACGTGACAACAATATTTGCTTTGTACAAAAATTTCACAATAAAATATCCACAAAATTAGACCGGCATGATCTAGGGACAACATGTAAGAACAATATTGTGCAATTGAAACTAAGAATAAAAGCTTACAAAAAAAGATCAATTGTAATAAATGCAATATAACCTATAATCATGTCTATCCTTGTCTATCATCATTGTCTATACAAGAACAGATATAGAATTCGGTCGGTAATACAGACTTTAGGATCTCTTTAACAGTTAACATCTTGCTTCGCGGGGCAGAGCGGGACTTTTTTCTGCCAGATTCGTTCGTTTTATGCAAAAACGCGTCGATTAAGCCTAAATTCAGCGAAATCGGTGAGGAGGGAGCTCTCCTTAAGTATTACCAATTTTTTTGCCATTTCTCCATTTCCTAACAAACTCATATTAAAAGCACACATTAATAAACAGATAGCCAAAGACCCGGATTAAGGCAAAACCAGCATTTTCGTAATTTGATTACCTCAACAGACTTTGTCCCTAGATTTGAGTCCGGACTATATATTTTACAATTAAAACCCGAAATCCGTCAAAACCCGAATTTACTGGTAAATTCTAGTTTTAACTAAGCCCTTTCGGTAATTCGCGTTCTAACTAAAAGAATTTAGTTAAAACTAGAATTGACCGAATGCTTTAGTTAGTACATTCGCGTTTTAACTGAAATAATTCAGTTAAAACTAGAATTAACTGACCGCTTTAGTACATTTGCGTTTTAACTAATATAATTTAGTTAAAACTAGAATTGATTGATTGCTCTTAGTGAATTCGCGTTCTAACGTGTCGCCGCGGCGCCAGCGCGCTTGTCAATTGTCTAATGTGCAGTCGTGCAAGTCAGTACAGTTGTGGACGGTGCTGATTGTCCACAACGCGATGTGTGCATTTGAGAAACGTTCACGACGCGTTGTGGACGGTGCTGATCATCCACAACGCAATGTGTGCATTTGAGAAACGTCCACGACGCGTTCTGTATAACTTGCATGTACTTTCAGTTATAAAGCGAGGTCCACGCTGTCTACCGGCGGAGGTGGGTGCGGGAGGGGGGGCCAAAGGCGTGTGTGTGTGTGTGTGTGTGTGTGTGTGTGTGTGTGAGTGACGCGCTTTAAAAGTATTTAAGTGTTTAAAACGCGTCAACTAACTTATGTAACTTAGTGACGCGCTTTAAACAGTTAAATACTTTTATAGCGCGTCACTAACCTACATGGGTTAGTTGACGCGGTTTAAACACTTAAATATATACTTTTAAAGCGCGTCTCACACACACACACACACACATACACACACACGCGCGCGCGCGCGCGGGGTGCAAGAGGGAGCCTTTGGCCCCTCTCCCGCACCCACCTCCGCCGGTAGGCAGCGTGGACCTCGCTTTATAACTTAAAGTACATGCAAGTTATACAGAACGCGTCGTGGACGTTTCTCAAATGCACACATCGCGTTGTGAACGTTTTTTTTGCTCACTGAGCGATTTCGGTGTTTGGGCATAACACATGTATGTATAGCATTGCCGATTAAGGGATTTCGCGTTTTGACTGTAAGAGAAACACGTTAGACCGCGAATTTACTAAAGCAGTCGGTTAATTCTAGTTTTAACTAAATTTTTTTAGTTAGAACGCGAATTACCGAAAGGGCTTAGTTAAAACTAGAATTTACCAGTAAATTCGGGTTTTGACGGATTTCGGGTTTTAACTGTAACATATATATCGCACCGCAATATTTGTTTCACATCGTTATCTCACAATTATACATTAAGTTGTTTATGTTTCAGGCGCCAAGTGGCATTTACGACGGAAAATATTAACCCCTACATTTCATTTTAATATATTGCAGCAGTTTGTTGAGATTTTGATCGAGGAAGGCGATAGTATGACCAAATCTTTGAAAAATACAGAAGGGACAGTTGTACAAGATTTAGTATCATTTTTTAGTGAACATACGCTAAATGCAATATGTGGTATGATGCGTTCATAATTGTACATTTTAACAGTATATGTTGTTCTTATTGACAAATAACATTAGACCAAGATCTAATTTTTTTATTATAAATATTGATATCACAATATTATATCTACTGCAAATTGATATCTCGGAAAAAAAATCTTTTATAATGTCTTATATGCTTACATAAGAAGCAATCTTATATGCTTATATATGAATTTTGGCCTGACAAGAAGTTATATGGTCATATATGATTATATAAGATTATATAAGGACATATAAGAAATATCTTTTATAATGTCTTATATCCTCATATAAGAAGCAATCTTATATGCTCATATATAAATTTTGGCCTGATAAGATTTTATATGGTTATATATGATTATATAAGATTATATATAAGGACATATATTTAAATAAGTTTCAGAAAATTGTTATATATTTCAAAATGTTATTTTTTAAGTGTGCTACTTTATTATAAGAGTGGACTTCACAATACAACTGATTCAAAAATTGTACTGCTCCATAGCGCGAGACAGTGCCGTGTCTTTTAATACCGTTCTTATAACACCGTTTGTCAAATTTTAAATACGGAGAAACAGTGTAGGAATTTGCTATCACAGAAAGCCGATTTCAGACTTCCGTGTGTCGATCTACTTCCGACGTGTACGATGAGAAGAATCGAGAATTGATTACGCACTCGAATACTGATGAGAATATTGCTTTTTATTGCGAGCCACGCGTAACAGCTACTATATATCTTTTTCAACTCTAACGGTCTCTCATCAGTTCTGCCAACCTCGCGAGAGCGCAAAACGATTGGGGAGGGGAGACAGAGGTACCGCTCTCTACACACTCCCCCCCGAGTGTTAACAAAATAACTTTTTGTATTTTTAAACAATATTGGACTTGACGAATGAGCCTACGCATTTGGCCTCGTGTTCTTGCACGAGATTGGCAAAAATACCTTAACTTGTAATACATATGTACGCTTGAGCGTAATTTGAGCCAACTTACGACTAATGATATCACATAAGAGGTATAACATCATCTTTTCAGTCTTACAATTAAATCACTTTGGTTTAGTTGTCGGCGCAAACGTGACTATCTTACGGGAGTAGGTCTTAAGTGCGGGTGGATTTGAACTTACATTTTGATCGTGTACGCGCGGTTTTTGGAGGGCGCCGGAGGGCGACGGACACGCTTTTTGGGTTTCCGTTGATGTCAATATTGAACACACGCTCCGAGACGCGTTGCAATATTTTGTGAGGGCCGGTATATGGTCGCTCCAAAGCCTTCTTAGCCATGTTACGTAAAAACAAGTGAGTGCAATTATATAAATCCTTGAAATAAAAGGCGCGTTTTTTATGTTTGTGCGCGACGGGAACAGGCCGGACCTGGCGCATATATTCGCGGAATTTTTCGAGAAAGTAATTAGGGTTTGGTGTGCAATCGTCGGGGAGAAAGAATTCCCCAGGAAGTCGTAGCGTTGTCCCGAATATGAATTCGACTGGTGACGCATTTGTGTCGGCACGGACGTGCGCCCGAAGTCCTAATAGGATAGTGGACAAAGTACGGGTTCAGCACGAATCGGCGTGGCACATGATTGCGGCATTAAGCACCCGGTGCCAACGTTCAATTATGCCGTTTGACACCGGGTGGTAGGCGGTCGTGCGAATTCGCTCGTAACCGATTAATGAAAGCAACTCCGGAAACAGGCGGGATTCAAACTGGGCTCCCTGGTCCATAGTAAGTAACCGGGGGGTTCCATAACGGGAAATCCATACATCGTAAAAAGCTTTTGCGAACCCACACAGCAAAACTTGTTTCAGAAAGCTTTCCGAAAGATAACTTGAAAATTAATATTGAAATGTATAATTGAAATCATTCAAAAATATTTCTGAAACGTTTTATGAAAATCATATATCACTGAAAGCTTTCCAAAAGATAACTTGGCAATTAATATTAAAATGTAACATTAAAATCATTCAGAAGTATTTCTGAAACGTTTCATCGAAATCATTTATGACCCTTTTCACTGAAATATTTCTGAAATATTACGAAACATTTTAGAAAAATATTTCGCACGTAATGTCTAAAATACATATCATTGAAAGCTTTCCGAAAGATAACTCGGACAATAATATTGAAACGTAACATTGAAATTATTCAGAAGTATTTCTGAAACGTTTTATCGAAATCATTTATAACCCTTTTCACTGAAATATTACGAAGCATTTCAGAGAAATATGCAACGACGCCGCTAGGCGGCGCATAATAGTAAGACTAACTCGCAAGTAAATTTCAGTTGGGATCTAATATAAGCAGGCCTTCGGCGAAGCAAAATCATGACTATGATCAAGAATATGTTTTACGAAGGACAGGAAATTGTTCCGGATGATCCTATACAGGGTGATCCGAAACAATTTGATATGAGAAAAAGTATCTGAAATATTTCCCGTATATTTTTGAAACATTTCAAAGGTATTTTCGAAGCATTTCAGAGATATTTCTGAAGCATTTCAGAGATATTTATTAGGCATTTCAGAGGTATTTCTTAAGCATTTCAGAAATATTTCTAAAGCATTTCAGAATTATTTCAGAAATATTTCTGAGATTTCAGAAACATTTCTGAAATCTCAGCTTGGCGGACATTTTAGCTTTCTGAAATATATCTGAAACATGTCTAAAATGTTTTTTTGAAAGGTTTCATATTTCATTGACAGTTTTTTGAAAGCTTTCTGAAATATTTCGATGCTGTGTGGGAAGGTTTGCGCGGAGATATCTTTAAAAGGGATTGCCTCGGCCCAACGCAAAAATCTGTCGATCATAGTGAGACAATAAAAGTAAAAGCCTCGTCTACAATAGACGCACAGGCTATGTCGTATGTCGCATGAGAATGTCGCAAGAGTACTGTTTCCGGACGCAAGGCTGTCGCAGTCGCAAGAGCCTTTGTCGCACGGAGTTGAGCCAACTTCAACTTTCTGCGACTGCGACTGTGTCGCATGAGATCGGCCAATCACAGCACAGTACGTTGACGCTAAAAGTGTTTTGACGATTTTATTAATTGCTAGCTGATGTTGCTGTATTTTTTTATTTTTGTTGGTTTTAATCATCATTAAAAATGAATAAAATAGAATTTGAGGAGCATCTCATTAATAGAGAGATAATAGCCTTTGTCCGGTCAAACCTCTTATTGTGGCAGAAGCGTGTGAAAATTGACAAGAAGAACAAGGACACAATCAGTCAAGCATTTTCGCAGATTGGCTCTCTATTATCAGAGCCACTGACAGGTGAGGAAATATTTCTTAAGAATCATATATTGCTAGACCCTACCCAACAAACGCAAAAGAATTAAAAGATATTAAAATTTTTTAATACCTTTGAATCCCTTTTTTGGCGGAATTAGATGGGATTCGAAATGAGATGGTCCAATCTCATGGAATCCAAAAAAGAAATTTTAAATTCCATTCAATCCTATGGAATCCGTAAAGGTTATGGAATTACAAGGCATTAGATGGTTTAGGAAACGTCTCGCGCCTCCGTTGGGCGACCAAGCGCCGTTGTTCGTCGGTGAGCTTTTGTGTATGTCTATGGGCATTACACGCACTACTGCCGATGGGCAATTAGCCCGAAAATGAGATTTGTAAGATCTGTCAGGCACCGTAGGGGGTCCCTTTA